GCGTGGAAGCGCTCGATATTATACACGTTATATCTCGAATTAACATACATCTCGTGTAATAAATTATGTTAATTAAGAAAAATTCAAGTGACACAAATCAAATATTATTCAATGCTGAACGAATTGTGCAAAAATTATGATACGTTTTGCACGACGATTCCCTCGAGATTCGCGCCGTGTCTCTCGCGACACGCCAAAACCCCCAATGAGCCCGGTAACAGTATCGAAAGGGGTGCTTCGCAACACATCTGTGCGATTTAATCGAATCGTGGGAAAGCCGAGAGAGAGAAACACACGCGAAATCCGCACGTAACTACGCGGAATGTCGGAACGATAAAATATATATATATATATACATATATTTCGCTGGTTCGTTACAGCTCCGGCATATCTCTCATGCGTACAACATAATAGCGTATAAATTTTCGATGTAAATAATTTCACGCGTGTGTGTAAAAATTCTCGCGATGGTTTTCGGCGAGCGCGTTACAAACACAACACACGCGCGCGCACACACACACACATACATTTCGTAGGTAAAAGATAATGTAAAATGTACAAAGTCACTGACGTAATGCGCGTTCTTCGAGATTTCTCGCTTTATGCAAATAGACCGGGTCTTTATCTCGACGAGAAACCATTTGTAAGCAGAAAGAGACGCGCGCCGCGACAAGAGTATTAAATAAAATTGTTGTATTTTCGTGACTGTATCACATGCGGAGAGACTATATACCGCGCGTCGTCTTTTCAGTGCGAGAGATCCTGAATTCGGAGATTCCAGACGATAGAGTCTCTCTCTCTCTTCTTCGGAGTCACGTCTCTCAGAGCGGTTCGGACTCATTTGTTCTGTCCCTTTGCCGCGCGCGAGCTTACGAGAACGAGAAACGCCAGCGATTATGCCCCCGTGGCCACGGATAACAACGACCGGTATCTGTCACTGTCGCGAGGAATTGTGAGCACGTCCCGAGATCGGTGTCTCCACGTCTCTCGGAAGCTCTTATATTTCTATTTTTTTTTTTTTTTAGTTGGACGACTAATGTGCTTCGAGAGGATGAAGAGACCGAGCAAATCCCCGCGCACGTGTGACAACTTTTAAATAAGTCCACTTCAAAATTTCAAAAAAAAAAAACTAACTCTTTGTAGTTTGACAAATTATCAAATAATTTTTATTAAACTTTTATGTAGATAATTTTTTTTATATTTGACGCAATGATCGGGAGCGAATTCGAGGTGACACACCTATTTCTCGCGAAGCAGAATATTATTTTATTTCGTACACTTTCGTAAACTTTATGCCATGCTAGTACAAACGGCTGTGTCTTTCGACGTCTCGGATACGACCGCGAACAACTCCCGAGGCGACACTCCGTCTACGTTGCGATGGAAAAGGCCAATTACGACGCAGCCACTTTGTGCGCGATGCTTTGTCGGCTATTTGCGTGCGAGGTGGATTCCGTGCGGATCTCCGAGCCACCTACGGAGAGTCAGGTTGAAGATCCGGAAGAACGGGCGGGAGAGAGAATGGAGCCGACAACACACACGCGCGCGGGAACCGCGAGATGAAATGGACCGGGGGATACAATGCGCGAGAATGGAGGCATATTGTGTGTACGAGTCGTACGACCGCGAGGACACTTGTTAGACGTCGCCGTACGCGTCTGCTTTGTGCTTTCGAGTGTGTTCGCGGATATTAATTACGCAACACACGTCACGCCGAAGTGAAGCGTGGTTTTTGTTGGATTGCAGAGAGGAGAACCACGAGGGCATATATTGAGAAGAGGACACACGAGAGAAGATACACATACACATCATTAACTCTCCACAAAGAGAGCGGACCGCCCGAAACGCGGCCGGTCTCTGAATGACGATGCCCGCGAGGGAATTAGACGGGATTTAATTAAGTGTTGAGTCCCGTGCTCGACCAATGGGGAACAATGTAACAGAGAAGTCGATGAATCTTTTTTTTCTCTCTTTCTTTTTGCGCGAGGAAAGAATCATACATGTGTGTGTGTGTGTGTGTGTATTCGATCGTTTCTAAACGCGCTGAAAAACCGTTTCTCTCTGCGAACCCACACCAAGTGTGGGTGGCGAGAGAGGCACGCACATACACACCGCGGCGTTAAAATTCGTGTACCGTTGCGCGAATGGTAGATACGACACGTGGGAACGAGGCGCGAAGTTATCGCGCGCCGATGTAATAATTATCAGCGGATCGATCGCGACGCGCGTGACGGAAAACTCCGGCCGATTATTTCGCGCCGTTTCCGGGTGTGTGTATATACGATGCGTCGGTACCGCTTGTTTCTCGTATTCGGCGAGAACACGAGAGAAGAAGGAGGTTGCGCAAAACGCGCGCTGGACGTGCGCACGTATATCGCGCGTTCCGAACAAACGAGGAACAAGAAGAAGATGTAGGAATCCAACAGACTGCGAGAGGATTTGTATCCTCCGACCGAACGTGTTGTTGTCATCCTTTACGAAGCTCAAACGATAATTAAAGAAAAATTCGATAATTAAAGAAAAAAATTGCGATTTGTATTGCAACACATAATCGATCGAATAAATTAAAACCCGATATCGATCGCGGTAAAATGGATCGGATCGATTCGATCTTACACACGCGAGCAGGATTTGCTGATTTTAATTAACGTGATATATGCAACGCCGTCGTTTAATTGCTACGCGAAAGGGGACGCGGATAACCGGTCCGCGGACGTGAAATGACCGCTTTTAATTGATAGAGAAGCTCGTGCATATATTTCTCGTGCGTCTTGAAGTTCGTGCGGACTTTCGAAGGCGAGGTCGTCGATCAGGCCACTCGTCAATAATTCTTTAATGTTATTCAGCGATCTCGAACATTAAGAAAACGCAAATATCAATAATAACGAGAGCAGCCGTCGCCGGAGACGATGTCACTCGCGATCGCGGCGAGAAATCGATCGATAAATTAATCGGTGTGAGAGTAATCGACGGAAACGAGACTATATCCTTCAATCCTTCCGATGAGATCGCCGACAAAGTGCAACTTCGACGATAAATTCGAACGTTTTTGCCGATCGTCGCGGCAACGGACATAAAACCGACGATTTAATTCGTCCGCAAGAACTTCGCTGACACAATTGTCGATCAATCGACATGATTCGTCTCTTTATCTCGTTCCGATTCGATCACTTCGTGTGTGTTTGCGCATCGATGTGTGTATCGAATCGAACGAGAGAGAGAGAAAGGAAAATACTTCGATCCGGATCTAAAAAACAAGCTGACTATCTCTCTCGTTGTTCGATTTGTTTTCTCTCTCTTTCTCTCTTCTTTTCTTTCTCGCATATTTCTCCTTTCTTTCTTTCTCAAGATCGCCCTCTTTCCTCTCTCCACCGATTAATCTAAGACAAGCGCGCGGTTAATCGTTTAACCGGCGCTCGATAGAGTAGTTTCTAATTAGCGGAATGCAATGAAGGAGGCGTGATCGGATCGGTCGACGAGGAAAATTCTTCGTTAGCGCAGGGATCGTCGTTAAGGAGGAGACGCGCGAGACGGGGCAAAAGAGGAGAGAATGAAGTAAGCTGGCGGCGAGAAAGAACAAGGGGCGGTGTAAAAAAAAACTCGGCTCGAAGAAGAGAAGTGAGGATAAGAGTTGAGAAAGCAGAAGGCCGCGCAAAGTAAACCATGATAGGATCGACGTTAAGAATCGAGAAAAATAATTTTTTTCGAGGAAGATTTATTCAAAACGCGATTGAATTTAGTCTCCGAGAAAATTAAATCCGGTACTTGAGCAAATTGGCTTCTAATATGCAAAAGAAAAAAATTCATTGCTGAGATTTATGAGAGTTGAAAATAAAAAATATTTATCACACGTAATTGTGAACAATTATATCGGAATTTTCAGCGTTTTCTCGAGCACCTATATATCGTAAATGACATTACTAGCATTACGCGGCATATAATATTGCGTAAAATGGCACCAGGAAACGCGTAACGATCGGTAACGAAGAGCCACCTGCGTAGAGGTGGAGAGCTCGCTCGCGTTTCTTTAACGGGAAAAGACTCGCGCCGGCAAAATGGAAGGGAACGGTGGAGAGAGAGAGAGAGAGGGGGGCGGCGAAGGGGAACGCGCGAAGGAACAGACCAAGACGGCGAGGAAGAAGAAGAAGGTGGGGTCGCCATGGTTGTGGTCCGCCTGGGAAAAAGAGGACCACGCATTGTGATCCGGGAAGCGAGAAGGCCACGCTAGGCTGACCCTAGGCTTTACATTAACCATCCACCGTGTACACACGCACGTAAATGGCCGTAGAGCCACCCCCGGGGCCCGCGGGTCTCTCGTACCTGTTGCACCGAGTAATCACACTGGCCCGCAAGAGGCCACTTCCTTTGTCTTCCTTTTTCTCCCGCGTTCCTGGGACAAGGTTGCGCAACGGGCACAACCCCGGAGAGACGACCCCCTTTTCTCCCGCGCGATAAACAGAGTGGAACATACGAATGCGCGAAAAATCGCCGAGAAGATTCGCTTTCAAAATTTCGCGTCGCAATTAGCCCACGAGAACACGAGAGCGTTCCCGTGAGAAAAATCTTCGAAAACGGTTTTCACGGATATCGTTCATTTCGCGGTCCCGCGTGATGATAAAAGAAGTGCGGCAATCATTTTCGTTTTGACTCTCCGGATGCGAGACAGGACGGGACGTGAATTTGACGTGTTTGAACAGTAATTGCCAGTCAAAAAATTACAGCCTCTCCGAGGTCACAAAGGTGGAAATCTCACGCGTTTATAACGCTGTTATATATTTTATTTTCGGCGGGAGAGACAATCGCAGAACAATCGCGTAAAGAAGAGAGCGCGGTCGGAAAAGGAGGAGCGAGAGATGCGCGAGAAGATCGTACGCGTTGATACGAAAAAAAGTTTCGTCTTTCACGAGATACGTGGCGGCGACAAGAAAGAAAGAGAGAGATCTTACAACGGCGATACAAAGACAGAGAGAGAAAGAGAGCGAGGAAAAAAAAGTACTCACCTTCAGGACAGATGCACTCGTAGTCGTGCTCGCCTCGCTGCTGACACGAGCCTCCGTTTTCACATGGCGACGGGTCGCAGGGGATGTATTCGCTCTCGCAATTCTGCCCCGTGTATCCGCTCGAGCACATGCATCTGCAATGCAAAAGATTTTTTTAAAAACCACCGCCATCGCGCACACAAACAAAGTTATAAGTTGTCGAACGACGTCGATCGTTGAATTACTTATTGCTTATCGATCTTTCTTATCTTTCGCGCGTGTTTATTCTTTTGTTTTTTTGTTTTTTTTTAATGCGATACGTAAACGGTGTATATCGATTTTTTATGTGGCACGAGGAATGTGTCGCGTAAGACGATCCGACAAATGCAAAACAATTCCATCGATTTCGCATCGAAAGAACGCGATACCGGCAATCGCATCATCACCTGCCACTTGTCTCGTCGATTATAATAAACCAGTGTGTTTCTCTCGTCATGTGAGAACACGTTTGTCTATATAATAATAAATAGACTCGGCCGAAATGTCGGTTGTTTCAACAATTCGACAAGGTTTCTACTTCAAACTACTGATGTTTTTGTTTTTTTACAAAACCTACTGAACCGCAATATTTCAAATATTTTTATTTCACGCGTGTGAGAAAACTTATTTTAAATTCGCACCTCGAGTCCACGACGAACAGGAGCAACAGCAGCCACGCGTACGTAAGATACATTTTCGCTAATAATCGAAGCCCAAGGACGGTCGCAGCGATAAAACGTAATCCTCATATTTCGACAAAACAATCCAGAGCGCGAACTGTTTACTCCATTTTGTTTTTGTGTTTGCAACACCGACAGTTTCCTCGGACTATTTCACAAAATACGAACACATCCGGGGGGTACAACACCTCGCACACTGATATATTATATTCTCACAGCAGTTTTATATTTTCATCACGCAAAAAAAAACAACCTTCACTATTGCACTGTTTTCGAAAGCCACTCGCGTAAATCACGTTGTTTTTCTCCGCTCCGAAATTAAATCCTCAATTTTCCAGAAAGGACGCAGTGTTCCCGAAGTGCAAGTAGAACAACAAAACCTTCCAGAGTAATCGCACGAACGGCGCGACGAAACGCAAAACGTAGAAACGGGAAAAAGTCGACGGACGACAGTCTCATGTCGGACGTGTGCGGTTCGGGGAAAACTTGGCCGCGCGCGTCGTTCCCGCGGCGAATTTGTGTGTGAATTTTAATAACGTTTTTCGTGACACCACCTCGACGAGACCATCACCGTGGCAATTCCGGAGCGCGCAGGCTTTCTCTCGTTTCGCGACACGGCGCCAGAAAACCATCCGACATTCTCGTCTTCTTCATGTTCTCACGTTGTCTCATACCCCGGGGGGTTCGACTATCTGTCTGCAGACGAAACGGCGCAGGTTTTCTTCTGCTTTTGTGTATGCGGCACTTTTGCTTCCTCGACGTTTCGAGAGCGCGACAACACACACCATCTGTCAACGCGCTACCATGTGCGACATATGTTTTCCCGCGATTGTTCCAAAAAACAACGAGCTTACTTCGATTATTTAATAATCACCGTTTGATCTCTCGCGTTCGTTCAACCTGTCAAAAATTCGGACACTGTTCTATGTCGCGTTGGAACCACTTCAGAGCCGCGTAAGAGGGCGCTGGACGCCGCACCCTGTCGGTGGCAAACTTCACGTCAAACTTTCGAGCTCGCTTCGGTGGTCCTGAATTTCAACGTATTTTCTTCCGATCCGATGTTTCTTGCTCCCTCAAAATTGGATTGTCGCGTTATTTCTTGGCGCACTTTCTCTGTCCGGTCGTTCGAGTTTCAACGAAAGTCGCGTGCTCGAAGATTTTCCGACTCCGCTTCGAGGATTTCGCAGACTCGTTCGTCGAATTGTGTCCCCCGTTGCCGAGTTCGGACAAACACACACGCGAGAGACTGGCGCGAAAGTGAGTCCGATTCGATTTTCGAACGAGTCGAGTCACGTTATCACTTCACCTCCTCGGTTCGACGCGACCACCTGTTTCGGCGCGCGAAAACGAGCCCCCTTGGAACGAGACGCGCGCAAGAGCGTGCGTCGTCCTCGAACGGCTAACGACTGACTAACCTTATCTTCCGTCGTGAGCCGCTCAGGGGGCACCAGAATCGCGCGCGATTGACCCCTCCGCAGTGCGATCACCCCCTCTACCCTTTCCGTCGCACAAACCGAGCGCGCTTTCTCTTTCTCTTCGTCGCTTGTTTCGCGCATCGAGTCTTGCGGTCCTTCCTTCGCGCTTGTTCCCTGCCAGAGGAGGTCCTGGCATTCGAGCGCAAAGTACGTCCTTTTGCAAACGAACTGTTCTTTAAGAAAAAAAACTTTTCTGCTCGTATTTAAAGCACATTCTACATTAATATTGTGAACTTAATATTGTGCTTACGTAGTTGTTCAATAAATATTTTACATCGTGGTCCTTAGAATATATTCCAAACTTTCAAATTTGATTGCAAAAGCATCGCAAAATAAATGTGTTTGAAATGTAGGATTTTTTTTTCAAATACGTACGTATTCAAGTCGTCACGCGATATCAACCCTCATCCATCATCAATGGATGCGTTTAAGTGCCCGAGTGAATACAGCTTAATCGGATACTCTCGTGTCCCGAGACACGCTCGAGGTTTCCGTTTGCACTCGCGGCAATGTAAACATGTAAATCCGCGAAATGCAACGAACGTGTCCCTCGCGGTCCAAGTCCCCCAGTGCGTATTTGGGAAGGACCGGCTCGAAAAGTAAAAAAAACAATGACTTTGCGCGAAAGTGTGTTTGCACGCCGCAAAACGGAACGCGCCTTTCGAAATTTTCAAAATGGTGCCAATGCGACGTAAAAGACGGTAGAAGGTGATCAGACTCATTAAGAGAAAGTCCAATGTTTGCGAACAAATTAACACGCGCAGTGCAAACATATGGAATGCACCGCGGTAATTAAGATTCTTTTTATGTCTTTTCGCAATATTACATAAGTACAAATGATTGTTACGCGCTAGTTTACAAATATATACATATATCAGAATTAGCATCTTTTTTTCTCCAGTCAATCAAATATCTGATGTCGAATCAGTCGATTATCGCTCGCACAAGAGGCACGAATACATTATATATTGTCGCAGCTCCATTGTCAACGAAAGTGACCGACTCCAAAGTTTAATTCTCGCTTGTTTACCCACGTTAAGCAAAGCACCCTCCCAAAGGGAAGAAGGACCTGCGGGCAGGATGATGCCTCGTTCCCCGAGAAACGTACGAGGGATGATCGACGTTCTTTCGTCCCCCGCAGGATACTTCGATCGACCTACGCGCGCGTCTCTCTCTCTCTCTCTTTCTCTCCCTCTCTCTCTCGTTGATATCCCGGGGGCTCGAACCCGGTTTCTGCATGTTACGAGTCTCCCTCACCTAATCCATTATTCCGCGTGACTGACCGCGAATGATTTCCGATACGTTCGATTTTCGAGAGGCCGCTCGATCGCACGTAGATTATCTCGCTCGCGGCTGCGACGTTCAATGGCCCGGCGAGAGAGAGAGAAAATGTAAATTCGTTCCACTTGCGTTATGGAAAACAAGATCGCGCTCGCAAGAACGAACGAACGAACGAACAATGCAGGAACAGGATCGAGCTGCGTGTTTCGACGCGTTCGTGTCTCGTTTCATGTGAGAAAGCGGATCTGAAGATTTTCCCGATCGGCGTTCGAAACATAATACGTAATTTGTAAAACAAACGCGCGAAATGTCTGAGCGCTGAAGTAGTTTTTTTTTGTTGTCGCCTGCTACAACAAAACGTCGCGATAAAAAAATGTCACGTTAACTAATTTTTTTTTTCGAGCGAGCAGCTTTTCGCCATTAGGAAGTTTTGCATAATTGCCACACCGCCGTCGAGGGCAGGAAGAGCGTGTCGCGTCCCGAGTCACGCCAGATTTTTCTCGCGCAATTAATTATTGTCCGGTCTCGCCCCTTAATTAATTAGTCATTCGATAAGGCACTGAGATCCGAGCGCGCGCACGCCAATTAAGACCTCAGCGTCTAAAGATCGGAGGGCCTAAACGCCGACGCGCGGAGCGTTTATGTCGACGCGATCGCCGGCGCATGAAGAAGCTCACGATCGCGCAAGCTTAATGGAGGTAATCGATGGGAGAAGCCGAACGTATCGTATCTCCGCGAGATAAAGTCTAATCGACAAGTACGAGCGTCTCACGCGCCGCGCATGATCGAAAGTCTCGCTAATGATGCGGTCACGAACGCAACTATACGAATAAGTTTTCATTAAACGCAGACACCGGGGTACACGGTTCCGATGAAAATTTCATGAATGTATTTGAAATTACGTTTTATAAATGAAATAACACGAGATGATAACGTTCCTTTGTTCCCTTTGTACGACGCGCGTCACGCGTAAAAAAGAAGCTTTTTACGCGACCGGCGCGGTATAAATTTTTGGCGTTCGCTTCAACGGCCGATTATTTTGTTCGGTCGCGGGCGTGAAAGAGGAGGAACGAGGGCGACGCGACGGGTCCAGGGAGAGGAAGACCGATCCGTGGCCATTTTTCAAAGGTCCGAGGGCCCGGCAGAAGCTTCACGCGCCGCGACAAAAAGTCGCTCTTTCGTACGGGAGGGGTGCCTTAATGCGCGTTCGCCCTCTCGGTGTTGTAGACAGGTTTGAAGAAAAGGAAAAAAAATCAGTAGGGGACCGGGATTAATCGAAAGTCCGGCGGCGAAGATCGTCGGGGTTCCGGAGCCCTTCTGTTCGTTCACGCCGGTGGTCGGTCGCCGTTGTGTCATTAACCGCGCCGAAAATTGATACGCGCGTCGCGCGGTTTTAAAGCTCCGCGCTTGTTGCCCGGCGCATCGTCGATTTAATTGACATCAAATTGGAGCGCGGACGGAAGATTGGATTCGCGATTGCGCGCGCTCGTCTCTTGATGACAGAAGACAGAGAAAAAGAGACAAGAGGATGAGGATGAAAAGAGAAAGAAGAGACTCGGCTGCAACATCCCCTCGACATCCGCCTCGTTTCTGACCTTCTTTACGACGCCATCAAACTTCACGATAAAAAAAGCATTCACCGGCGGAATATTAAGTACCTCTTCGGTTAATAATGTTCTTCCTTCTGGAGTTATATACGCGGGGGTTGCTTCTTTATTTTTGTTACGGTTTTTCGAACATAACGTGAAGAATTGCGTTGTCTCTCGCAATATATATAATACGCGGAATCATTATTGCGCGAATACTCGCTTCCTCGCCCGACGACCTCGTCATCGGCACCCGTTTGATTGACGCGAGCGACCCCGATAAAACAATAACACGTGTCGTTTCTTCTTCGTGTGGGTATTTTTGTTTTCGTTATTTTCTATTTTGAAGTCGTTTTTCACGCGACATTTTGCGCAATGTTTAACCGCGACGTTTTCACAGATTCAACGTTCTCTGTCACATGTAAACGTCGATCCGGCAATAGAAGCGATTCTAATCCACAAATGCGCGCAATATATCTCGATGATTTATGTAACGCGCTCGCTTTCTCCCATTGTGCGGAAAACGCGAGCGAGCAAAGCGGTTTTGACAGCGTTCGTAAATGTGTGAATAATTGCGTCTCGATTTCTGACGCGAAACCGATCGAACCTGTTATCGCGTTCTGAGATAAATCCTCGAAACCGACGTTTGTTCCGTTTTAAAGATCGCGCGTTATTTCGCGCGGCCGATAGTATAACGGGAAGCGCGAGGCTTCCCTCTCCTTCCCCTTCCCTTCCCCATTTGCCAGGCGTTACATAAATGCTCGTGAATGTCGATGGAAATCGCGGACTGACTGATTTGCGACCGACATCGCGAATAAACATGGCAAAGAATGAAAAAAAAAAAAGAAAAACAATATTTTTTATTCTCACAAATTTCCGCAAAGACCTGAATTGAATTTAGATTCTCGCGTGCGCGCGCTTCACAATCGAAAACGAACGAATGACACAATAACGATCTCGCGCCGCTAAAAAAAACAAACTTTTACGTAAGCCAAACCAGAAAACCGGCGATCGCCTTTACGATTTTCCATTGTACGCTCCTCGTTTGATTTTTTTTGTGTCAAACCTTTTTGTTTAAATTTACACACACACACACACAAGCTCGCCGATTGCATCGTTTCTGCGAAACGCGGATTATCCTTCCGCGTTTGATAATCTTCCGCGAACAAATTGCCGGCGCAAACAAGCGATGCATAAAACGAAATGCGCAAACTCCACCGTCGCGGATCAGTGCGTCGCTAGACCGTCGTTTGTGCTTTTTCGGCCGCGAGAAAATCCTCAATTCGCGTCGATTAATCGCGACAATTAATTCCGCATTGCGCGTGTGTCGTATCTCGGAACTGTGCGCGGTGACGCAAACGGATGCGTCGCGCATGTGTATAGCTCGCGAAATATAAAAAGCACAACGCCGCGGATTAACGCGGTTTTTCTAATACAACGCACACACACCACGCTTTCGCTTTCCCACCGTGCTAATTGGTCTGAATTGGATCGGACTCTCGATGGAGTCGCTTATATGTCGCGTCTCGCCGACGTCCTATCGTTGTGAAAGAAACTTTCATAGAGAGATTAAATTATTTATAAAACACAAACAATAAAAACAATAATTAAAAATATATATTAAAGAAATATACGCGTCGTACGAAATTTGATTTTTTCTGAAAAAATGTAATTGTGTACATTAGAGAAAAATACGCCCGTAATTGTTTTGAAAATGTCGCGCGCGTGACGTTCGCAAAAGAATATTTAAGACACACACGACGGATACACAAATTGCACATCGAGCGCCGAGAGCACAGTGCGAGTATTTGTTTTGCGTGTGTGGACGGAATTGAAATATCTTTACGTTGCGATCTCAATTCACACGTAATCGTATATTCACACGTCTTGATGAACGCGCGCGTTAGCAACGCGGGGCGCGCTACGCACGAAAGATGCCGCGCGACGCGTTACGTATGTGCGATTCTTTTTTTTTGCTTCGGTCGCGCCGCGCGAGATACTTTTACATCTTGCGTAAAACCCTCCCGCGTGTCCCCGCTATTATT